ATATAAAATTTCCAGAAAACCACTTAGAGTTGGGTTATGATTAAGTTGTAAAAATTTAGCCTACCAAAAATAGATTGAAAATTTGCAATCTTACTAAAAACACAAAAGAAAACCACATTTTTAGTAAAATTTTTGTTAATTGATGCTCCATTGCCTAGCTCGGCAGCAGAAAAAGAAAATAGAAAGAAAAAGTTTCCTTGGCAGCCAAAATAGAAAAAGAAAATGCTTGAAACAGCCGGAAGAGTTGACAAATTTCAGAGTAACCTAATGCCATGTCCTTGATACAAAGTTCTAATTTAAGGGAGAGGGGGGGGGGAGTGGAGAGGGGGAATGCTTGAAAAAAGGAGACAACAGTGCTTTTGTTCTTCATTCTGAACTTCAAGCAAAGTTGTACACTGCAACGAAAGGCATTAGAACACTTCCCATCCACAGCTTCCCGTCCTTCTCTTCGACTTCACTAACAGCCTTAACAACCTTCCCCTCACTGTCTTCCAAAATCTGCAAAAGCTTTCCCTCCGCGCTGTATTTGACAACAACCGCATGAAGGTTACCTCCTATCTGAAGTAGATATTGAACTTTTGTTGGAATGGGGAGCCTGAGCATGAATGCCCTGAATTTAGGGTATATTGACATGATGTGAGTGTACATGGAACGTCGACAGTGGATTGCTACCCAGAAATCACCGTCTTTGTTAGTCCGGACATTGTCAGGAAATCCAGGGAGGATGGCCAATACCTCTGAAGTCCCTGCTTTCTCACCTTTTAACCAATACTTGCGTAATCTGCATACACGAGGCATTGCACAATCTTTTAAAAGGATGCCCTACCTAATATGATAATGCAATGTTAAAAGTATATTTGGAGTGAAAGTAGCAGATATACCTGCCAACAACTCCTTCACAAAAAACAAAGAAAGATCCATCCTTGCTTAGAGAAATTCCATTAGGAAATTGGAGATTTCGGACAAGGGCAGTTGTTTCCTTGGTGCTCGGGTCATACTTCAGAACCCTCCCACTATTGTCTGCTGAGAAAACCAGCTGCATGAAGTTCCTGAAGAATACAACTTTGTCATGGATCATTCATACAAAGACAAACTGCATTGTCATTCAAGCAAAATGAAACGAACATGGTTCTAAGTACATATTGACATACTCCAATTCCAATCAAATCAATATTATGAACTTATATAGACACTTTTACCACAGATTTACGATAAATAAGAACTTGCATTATTCAAAAGAAATTGGGAACAGAAATTCCAGCCATGATTGTAATCAAATAGTTGTAACAGTAACCAGAAGAGCCACACTTTACTAGAAAAAGAACCAAATACAAGACTTCTCAAAAATTAAGTACCTCAATTTAAAATGAGATGTAGCATTTTGGTGTTAACAAGCATTATTGCATTAAACATCACCATTAACCAATCACATTATATGGCTTTTCTTTTAAACCAAAAGAATTTGAACATCTTAAAAAGAGAAATATCATCAAAAGCCTACCTTCTCTGGTAGTTGCTGCTGCTATCCGTGAAGTAGATGTTCCCTTCGTCATCAATGTCAAGGTCATTGGTAAACCTCAGTGGCACCCCATCTGCCTCAGTTACAAGTGGAGTTGCCAATCCACCTTCTGGCCCAACCTTCAACAACCCTAAATATGCATCTGCAATGTATAAATCACCAGTTCTCTTGTCAAACCGGAGGCCCAAAGGCCTGCCACAGATGTGCTCATTTGGCAGGTAACTCAAAGGTGATGGCTTTGGGTCACATAGCTCTGACCTGAACCCCATATTAGCAATGAAAAAGGAATTATCAGATTAAGAACAAAACTTTTAAGGCAAATTACCAAAAGCACTGCCTGTAGATATTTTCTAAAAAACAACAAAAACTAAAATCACTAACATTACAGTAATCTTTTATAGTCACACAATCAGTCAAACTTCAGGGTTATACATTTTTTTGATAAAACAAGATTCCAGTGCAATGTTGGATCTACCCCAAAAATATCAATTTTGATGTATGAATATGATGGATGACATTACCATAATACTATGTCCATGTATGATCTATCCTATAAAATTACCATTAATTCCAAAATAAAACCGACAAAAGTCATTAGCACCAACTATTAGCCAAATTCCTGCAGAAAAAAAAAAAAAAAAAAAAAAAAGAGGAGGAAAAACCACTAGCAAGAACTGAAGGACTGACCTATTGCTGGAAGTATAAGCAAAATCCTTCCATTTCTCACCATCCCAGAACACAACTCGGCCATCAGCAATCCCAGTATAGGGTCCTCGCCCAAGAGGGTCAAAGGCCACGCTTTCAGGACCCTGAATCTGGTTCAAGAACATAATCTGAGATTTCTGGAGCAAGTTTTGAGTGTCTTTCTCCTTAGGAACCGAGGACAATGGAGGCATGTCGACATAGTAGGCCTTAAAGTCAGGGAACCCAGAAATTGCACTGTGCTTGAAAGGGTCTATGCCGCAGTACAGAGCAAGAAGCAGGAACAACACACCCAGAACTCCCATCGGAGTCATCGTTTCTGAACAAAGAAACACAAGAAATCTGAAACCACTGTTCTGTTTTCCGGAGAGACGGAGCGGATAGTTAAAGTAGGTTGATGGGCTCTGTCTTTACTTCGGTTTCAAGGAGTAGGTATGGAGCATCGCAGATTACTCTTGCGCAGGTGGTAGATAGAGTGCAAGGACACTCAGCTAATTACATTGGGTTGATTTGCGGTTGGGACCAAAGAAAAATGTTAATTTTTTATTTTATTAACAATTTTTTTTTCTTCATTAATTTGTTTGGTTATTTTTCCGTTCAAAAATACCTGCCATATTAATTGTAGTTTTTTTTAAGGTACATAGATACTTACCTTTTTTATTTTAATTACTTTTTTTTTTTGTTATTTTAGCATGTTTGTTTTGTTTTTTTAATTTTTTAAACATAATTTTAAATAAAAAATTAAAATATTATATATAATAATTAAAAACTTTTCATCATATAGAAGTATATAACAAGAACTCTATTTAAGAAGAAAATTTTAATTTTTATTTATATAAATTGTTAAACTTTTTAAAAATTTATGTCTAAAAAATTAAAAAATTAAACTAAATCTACTAAAAATAAATATAGAGAATATATTGTTTATTTGTTTACTTTAATTAATTATTTTATCACAAAATATTTATGTTTACTCATTCCTCTTTTTTTAATTTAAAAATATTATAATCATAATATTA